AATACCCATGCTAACTTGTTCTATAGATCATGGTAATTAATGATTCAATGGGTCCGTATGCAGCAGTATTTTTGTTCCATTCAAGACATCTGTTTCAAAGTGAATCTCCTGATTTCCCTACTAAAGACACTACTTGACAGTCTTAGAGTGCATAAACTCAATTACTCTCAGCAGAAAGGAAACCAACAGATGTGCTTCAAGAACGCACCCAGCACTTTTTAGACAACAATGAGAGTTCAGTCCAGGGCACCAGCCTGGAGTCACTTCATGGTAAAACTCTTCCAACATGTCTGGATGTGGTAATCAGGTGCACAGCAAATTGCTTTGCTCTCCAGATCCCCTCACATACTACTGGAAGTCTTCCTGATATGGACAGGGTCAAGGTATTCTAGAAATTAGGATGCATCAGTCTCCACAAGGTGTCCTTAGTGCTGCTCACAAGTGCTGTTTTGCCCCAGTATACCATGGATCTTCAATCATTCCTTGTGTTCAGACTAACATCCTTTTAGGAATACACCTGACAGACAACTATTTCTTCTAACAGTCTTGATTCATTTCTAGAGGAAATTAAAAAGATCTTCCCTACTGGAGCACTGCACTCTTTTCCTAAGCCCCTAAATCTGGGGTTTTCTGGTCTGGGATTCTTCCAGACCAGACACAAGGGCAGCTGGTTGACCATCTCATCCTTCCAGTGGAGAACCACTTCATCCTTCCTATAAAGAAGAGCCCTCTCATCCCTAGCCAGTAAGGATCAGACACTACACTGACAACATGGGGCCGGAGACTATTTCTAGGGCCAGTCACCCTGTGAGAAACAGGTCGTTCTCAATGGCATTTCCTTGGCAGTTCTGTTGAGGCATTCTGCCATCTCCTCTGTGTAGTGTGCTGTGTCATGTATCATCTCAAGTTCTGAGAGTCATTTTGCACCAGGTTGATATGACACGCAGGATAATGCACTGTGGCTAATGCAACATTGAAGGTAATTACTGGCTTGGCCTAATCAGATAATAGAGATTTAACTGCTTGTTTTTTATCTATTCATTCACTGGCTGATGTAGATCATATATAAATTTTGAGTCTACCAGTTACTTGTAAGAGTTTTGTTTCTTACATTTAATGTAATGCATTTTGCTTTAATTTTCATTAAGGATCAAGTCAAAACATGAAGTTCTAGTAATCACTTTAAAAAGTTGTTGTTAATTGCTCTTTCTAGGTGTCCTGTTGTCTGCTGTTATTCAAATAACCAACATAATCAATCCTTAGACAAAGTCTTCTCCTTGGGTGGGGCTTTAGCCTTGAAGCTCTAGCTGTTTTTGTAGATGAGTTTGCACCTGTGTTGAAGTCCATTACTTTAAGGGTTTTTTTCTATGTAAATACAAAGAAAGGCTCACACAAATTACAAACCACTTCCATGCAACCATTGTCAAGTTTGGTGGACCTCTGGACAGCTGGAGAGGCTAAAGCTTTGGAACAAGTCAGAACATCAGAATTTAAAACCAACCAGCCATTACGCTTTCACTTTGGTTTTTGACAGTGAATAAAAGCCCATTTATGTAAACTTCAGTATACCCTCTACAGTTAGTGTAGATTTTAGTTTAGTGTCTTTGGATTCCAGCAGGTTCTGTGAAGTTCTTGATCAGTCTTGCAGAGTTCATGCTAATGGTTGTGATTCAAGGAATGTAAATATTTATGGAATAAACCCCAACCAATGAACAAGGCCACAAACTGAGTGATGGCTGCAATGAAAATATACAGCACAAAGATTGCTGATTTAGATTGTGAAAGAAAATACATAGTAGCCAATGCCAGCTGCAAAAGATAGAAGCATCTGACTTCAAGGAGTGACTATCAGAAAAACAGAAGTTTTTTAAAAATAATATATTTGTGCTTATTGTACTAAAGTTCTTGTATTCTTGCTTTTGCTCTGCAACCATGAACGTTATAATTCTTTTTAATAAGAAAGCTTAACTTCTGAGTTAGTTCTGTAATCCTGAGAGCTGTAATAATAAAAGTTCCAAATAACAGAAGACTTACAGTAAAAATTGTAATAGTAACAGCAGCAACATATCAGCAGACTTGTTCTTAAAATGCAGCTCTTTTGATGATCAATGGTGAAGTTTCTGGGCATGTGTAAGAGGCCACATCAAACTTCCTTCATCCTGAAGAGTCAATTTATCTCTCTGTTGTGATCTTGTAGCCTTCTTTTCTTGCCCCTCCTTGGGATGAATTATTAATCACAACATCCCTGAGCATGAACCCAAGAGTACCTCAGAATTCGTAATTGGTGTCTTTTTTTGTTTGTTTTGGGATTTGGTGGGTGGGAGGGTTTTTTTGTTTTGTTTGGGATTTGGGGTTGTTTTTTTTAAAAAACTTAGATACAAGACTTAGGCTTTCATTTGCACAAACTGGCAATTGCTGTGTGATAATGAGCAAATATTAGGTAAGGAAAGGATTTAATTTATTCCAGCAGAAATATATTACTACTGTACATTAGTTATGTTGGATAAGACCATGAAACACAGAGTCCTTTCTATTCCAGATAGACAGGATATTAAAGGCCAAGGCTTTGAGCAGTGTGCATGCAGCTGATGTTCTGTGGCTAAGGTAGAGGGTCTGGCACTTGTCAGAAATGATGGTGAAGGAAGAGAGGGAAATTAGGATTTGGCGGTGATTTGCTTCCAAATTCAAAGAAGACGTTCCCATCTTAAATATCACAAGAACAATATGCTTTCAAAAGTGATTGCTGGCTTTTGAAAATGTGTATCTAAGCCTTTGAGTTCTCACCTGGGTGTTTCACTGGGATCCATTTTTTCAGGGGACTGGAGGCCCATTTATTCTGCAAACAAATATTCCTTTGGGCTTTCAGTGTGGATGGCATGAGACTGAGGCATCTCACCCACTAAGGACTAGATGAGAGCAAGAGCAGGAGCAAGTGCTAAGATAACGTTAAAATAAATTGTATGAAATTATCACTGTTTTACAAGATGTCTCCAAATGCATTTTAGTGAGTTCACTATTAATTTCAAACTGCAGTTGTCTCCAAATGACAAAACCTTTGAGTTTTGCCGTAGGATGCTTAAAGGCTTGTGTTTCCAAGGTGCTGCTGGTTTTATGCATCAGAACATTCTCCTAGAAGAAACATTTGAGAACTGTGATAATGATCAGGGGCTGGTCCCAGGGCAGTATCCTGTATCCCCAAATGCAACATGTTGGCAGGTGATAAAATCAGAACACAATTTGATTTTGCAAACTGTATGTAATAGCCTGGCATTTGTATGTCTTTGAGGCACAGCTGTTCAAGGAAAAAAGGACATTTACTCTGGCTGATTCCAGTACAACTCGCTCCTTGCATCTGCTCAGGTGCTTATTATTACTCTGGGTAATGTCAATGTGTTTCTTGAGCAAGGAAGTAGCTGTCAGGCTGCTTCCACCTGATCTTATGAAAATAAATGTCCGTGCAGATTCTGGTTTGCTTCGGAGTTGTACTGCAAGACAATATATTAATTCAAATCATTAGCCTATGTTTTATTTTTTACATACAGACAGTTCAGTCTTTACCTGTATGTGTGCATGCTTTACCCTACAGACACTTTTCTACAGTGTAGGTGTCAACAGCATAATAATGGAGAATTCATTAAATGGCTAATTGCTGTGTGTTACAATGACCTCATTCAATTAAAAGTTAATTTCCTTCTTCGGCTTTCATTTTAAGTGTCATAAAGTGGCAGTTACCCAAGGTTTTTAGCAGGTGAAACAGTATAGGTTAATACAACTTATTTTTTAAGGCAACTTTCAATATACATGGGGAATTAATGTTCTCTTCTTTGTTGTTTTATCTTCTTTGGTAACCTGTTGCAAAGCTGTAGAAGAAAATAGCACTTTAGCTCTTGTTTGAATTGTGTTTCTCTGATTATCTGCATTTTTTCAGGGCCTGATTAACAGAATATCCCACTCATGTTTGTTTCACCTGAAGCTGTTCAAACTAAGCATTTCTGAATTAGATCATGATTCAATAGAGCAAGCAGTTTAGGGCTTAACTCCAGGCCTTGATAACCCAGAGCATGATTCTGTTGTGAAGATTTGTTTTGGCAGTGGGAAAGCTAGAAAATCCTTTCATCTATCTCAATATTCACTTACTACAGTTGTCTTCCAGTTCAATACTGACCTTGCAGTTAGGTGAACAGTGATTTGACAGTTTTTCTACTATTGTGCACCACAGCACAGATGCTCTTTTTTGATTGATGATGTTCTAATAGTAGCAGATCTGTTTGGAAAAATGATTGTGACCTGTGTCTCCAGCTCCAAGCCTGTACTGAATTTAGCCAGTCTAGGAGAAATCAAGGCCAAGTGATCTAAAGGAGTAGCTTTTCATGTTGGTTTTTTTTTTAATCAAGCTTTGATTTCCTTATGGGGAGATCCCAACATCTCCAAGTGCCCTAATGATCCCATGCTTGGAAGCTGTATATCTGGACTTTCTTGCTTCTACAATCTAAGATATCACTCTCCATGGTCCTACCCTAGTTTTACATGCATCCAGTCTCTAAAAGCTTATTGAAACAGACAAACAAATAAACATAGATATTCTTATAACCATAGCAGCTGAGACAGCAGCCACACATTTCAATGCACTCGGTGACAAGAGCAGCTTTAGATGGTGCCATTCCTATTTTTTCCAGTATCATTTGTTACAGTAGCCTGTGCCATGACTTACTTTCTAGTTTAGGTCTTTGTGGGGCCATGCTGTGAACCAGGTTAGGAGATTGATCCAGATAAACAGTATTTTCAGAGTTTTTCCTTTTTGAGTTGGGGCAGAGAAGAACAAGCAAAAGAGATTTCAAAACAGCGTGTCTAAAAAGTGTGTCGGAAAACAGTGGTCATGTATCCTTCACCTCACTAGATCCTCACTTCTCAGTTGCTGAGTTGTGCCTCTCAGCTGAAGTACTGCATGTTGTTGTGGCCCAGCCACCAGCTAAATGTTCTGTGCTCTTCCTTTATTGCAGCAATTCAGCTTTGTCTCCCTGCCCACGGACGTCCTAGAAATAGAAGTTAAAGACAAATTTGCCAAGAGCCGACCAATCATCAAACGTTTTCTGGGAAAACTCTCAATGCCGGTTCAACGCCTCTTGGAAAGACATGCCATAGGGTAAATTTTGCTACTTTCATTATGCTACTTTCCATTGTTTAACGAGCGTGTTGCTGTTTCTAAGTCCCTGGTGATATGTCATTATTGTGATATAATGATGTTGAAGGGGAGTTACTAAACTGACAGTTGTCTGATAAATGGTGTTGATCTTAATTAGAATTTATAGTACTACGGGCCAGACAAAGAATTCCCTCTATAACTCAACTCATGGCATTTTGGAAAATGAAAGCTGGCATTTAGGAAAGAAGGCTTTTTTGTGTATCGTGGCTGTGAATCTGGAGAGTGCAATATTTTCAATTTGAATATTCTGTTAATTTTATCAACAGGCTGTTTACATGTTTCAGGGAATTACCTATGGGCTAAAATCATTCCAGATCTGTTCCTTCTCCCTTTAATTTCTGGACAGTGGAAACATCATAAAAAAATAAATTAGGCTTGTTGTAACTAAAGCTTTCTGACCCTACCCTGCTGCCAAGGAACAGCCTTGAGCTCACAAGCCCTGCCCTGCTTCCCCATTGCATGAAAGTCCTGGGAAAGTGTATGCTGCCAAAATAACACAAACCAGTTGGAGGAAGATGGATAGTGTTCAGACAAAGCCAAAAGGTTGGCTCTAAACCTTTAATGTTCAGACCTTGAAGAGCAAGGGGAAAAAAACAGAGTCATCTCTGAAGGAAAGCATACGCAATGCAGTTTCCAAGAAGGCATTTCTGAAAATTTGATCTCAGTTTAGCAGAACTGCAGGAAGATGAACTTGTTGGAAGTGTTTTTGAACAGCTAGTTCAGAAACTGACTGTGATATTGACAGCTGAATCTACCAGAAGGGACTAAGCTATCTCCCTGTTTCTCAAGTAGGGAAGATAGCATAGCTATTTAGAAACCAGATGGAAATGAACAGCTTGGTGAAGGTAACTGGTATCATAGGCTTTCCTCTGTATGAGAAGGTTTCTCACCATCTCCTGGTTATAACTTCCTATTTTACTTGTTGTAAACACTGTCTATCTAAGGATATACTTTGCCAACAGTAGTGCCTCCAGCTTGCACTAGATCTTAGTTTTAATATCCTAGCGGCATTTAAATCTCAGGCAAGCTCCATGAGAACTATTCACACAAGTTCAGAGAGGTGATGCAGAAATCTTGAAATTGTCTCATTTACATGAGCTTCTGATGCATGTGAAACTATCCTAGCAAATATATCTGGCCCAACTGGAAGTGAACTATGTTTCTTCAAAAGATGTATGAATATTAGTATTTAGTGAACCCGTGACACTGAAAAAATGCTTTGCAAAGATTGATTCAGCCTCATTGTGGGCATCTGGGAAGTTAATCTCTTCTGTAGTTTCATTCTGTTCTGAGGGGTGGATGAAGTATGGCAAAGGGAGGGACCTGCACAAGGACAGAATGGAGTCATTGATCAACCTTGTCAGGAAGGTGTTCTCCTGATATTTCAGCTTCATAGAGGTAAGAGGGGTGGAAAGAGATTAAGAGCAGTCACTCAGCCAGTTTGAAGAGAAAAGCTGGTAAGCGGGGGACTGGCCTGCACAGGATTTTGTAAACAAGAACAGGAAAGCTGAATTTTACACAGATGGTGAAGGGAAGAAAACACAGAAATGCAAGGGTCTACATAAGGGTAGATATGGTCAGATCTGCAGGGAAGTGAAGTGTTGTCACAATAGCTGAAGTGAGAGTTGTTTGCTTCCCATGTTGATACTTTCATACCCATACTGCAGAAGTTTCATTCCCACCGTTCTCTCTCTATATATACATACATGCTTGTGTATCCTGGAAGCCTGTCTTACTCACTTACTCAGCTGTTCCATTGTAATTGAAGACATTGTCCTCTCCTTCTCTGCCATTCGTTCTCTTGTATGCAAGTCAACATGCCCTCATGGCTGGGATGAATAGCCTTTAAAAACCATTATGTATTTTTGTAGGACACAGCAGGTTTATCTATGCACAGTACACTTGGGTAGGTTATAGTCTATTGTGACAATATTTGTTTTCTTTCAGGGACAGGGTTGTAAGCTACACTCTGGGTCGCAGGCTTCCTACAGATCATGTCAGTGGCCAGCTGCAGTTCCGATTTGAGATAACTTCTTCCATCCATCCAGGTAATTCTCAGGTTTAAGCCATCATTTTCTATTATTCTTTTTTTTTTTTTTTGGCTTGCATTCTTTCTCTTCAGAAATCTGAATTCATTCCTGGCTGCTCTGGGACTTTAGGTACAGTCATGAGCAAAGAAAAGGGCATAAAATCCCCTGTCACAGGATGCATCGTGAGTCATAATTTCTTCCATGTTTCCCCTTAGCTTAGAGCTACTAGTGTCTCATATTTCCCTGTTCTTGGCTGCTTCAAATACTCTGCCACGTTACTGGGAGAGAAGAGGGTCGAAAACTAAACTCTAATTTGCTTCTCTATCACTGTCCTAGGGAAGTGCTATATGGGCTGTTATTTGTAGAGTCATCTGCACTTGAGCACTTCTTAAGTAAAAATGTATAATGTAATAGTAGAGATGATTAGAAACTTTCTCAATTTGATTATTTTTAATGAAAAAAGTAAAAAGTAAAACAAAAAATAATTCACAGTGAATTCCCTCCCTTTTGATTCGGTCTTGGTTCACCTTCTCTTGTAGTTATGAGGAAGTAACTGTCATGACAGCATAAGGTTAAACCTTGGATCTCATCTCAATAGCAGGTTTCTGCCTTGTGTTCTCTCTGTCCTCTCTGGTACACTTTGTCAAGCCAACAGCAGCTGTGTTAGTGGCTGGAAATCATGATTTTCCCCTTGCTGGAAAACTCTGATTCCTATCTTTTGACCATTTTCGTGGTGTGAAAGAGTCCAGGTTGATTGGCATCTGGGAGGAGGTGGTACAGATGAGGAACACATCAAAGGATATTTTGGGGAACGTTTTCACTTTTCAGGGGTGTGAAAAACAGTTTTTTACTTCTCTGTTGTGGAGTTTTGCCAGCTTCAGTGTGACAACAAGCATGTCATTAAAACCTCAGGGAAGACTTCCCTGCCATTCCCAAGGTATTCCTTCCAATGCTGGTTTGGCTCAAAGAGGGGTTTCAAGAAGGAGTTACTTTCAGGTTATGCTGCAAGGAGGCACGGTGCTGCATACTGATTACCACCATGAGTAAGCCCATGATTAAATCCACTGTACAGAGACTGTGTAGCAAAAAAAATATTCAGCACTTGATAGTTGTTCAGTTGCCCACTCATTTCACACTGTAATTTATGCTTTTAATTTTCTCAGATTGCTGTGGGTGCTCGGTTCAGTCAACACTTCGTCTTAAAGAAGTAAATAATTTCTTTTCCTGTCTTATACAGATGATGAAGAGGTTTCCATTAGTGCAGATCCTGAGCCAGCTGACCTCCAGGAAAGGCCTGTGAACAACCCCACAGAGGAAAGCCTCGGTGAGCCTCCATGCATCAACACAGTGACCTCAGAAAGTACAGCTCCAGAACAGCTAAATGGATACAGTGTGAACAGTGTTGATAGCCCAGGGGCTGTCAGACCACGTGGGGAAGTCAACCAGAACAGCTTAAATGAAGAGCTAGCAGGAGATGGGGAGGTTGATGCAGTGCCAGTTCCTGAGCCCTTGGAATCCATCCCAGGAGAAGTGCTGCCTTCTTTGAGTGCTACGGACCTCACAAAGCAGCCGGCTCTGATGGCTTGTATGTCTCCTCCTGAGACTGAAGTTAGGGAAAATAACAAAGTCAATTCTGGTATTCAGGGAGATGGTGGAGTCTTGACCAGCATAGAAACATTAGATATTGATGAGGTGAGTGCAGATGTACATGTTGGCAAGGACCTAGAGAAGAGTCAGGAAGAAGAAGAAGGGGCTTCAGCCCAGGAGGAAGAAGACAACAAGCTACAACTGAGGACCACAGCAAAGAGGAAAAACAGGCCGTGCTCCCTGCCTGTGTCTGAACTTGAGACAGTCATAGCTTCAGCTTGCGGTGAGCCAGAGACGCCTCGCACACACTACATACGAATCCACAACCTGCTCCACAGCCTTCCCTCGGCACAGATGAGCAGCGATGGGGAAGAAGAGCAAGATGGTGGCAATGGTGGGGAGAATGATGAGGAGTCTACAGTCAAGGAGGTGTTGGATAAGGAGGTGGTCAGCGAGAGTGAGACCGTGGCGGCAGATCCTCCTCCAGAAAATGAGGCTGAAGAGAACTTCAGCCAGAGCACGATGCCTCCTGGCACCTTGGATGAGCAACTCTCGGACTTAAATGATGGGCTCTTGGATGGGGAGCCCCCCAGGACAGGAAGTGAGAGCGAGTCGAGCTCCAGGCCCAATGGTGACAATGAATGTGAGGCGTGTGATACCTCTTGCTACAGCCCCTCTTGCTACAGCACTTCATGCTACAGTACCTCCTGCTACAGCACTTCTTGCTACAGCACCTCCTGTTATGACAGTAACAATCGCTTCTCCAGCCATACCCGCTTCTCCTCCGTCGACAGTGCAAAGATTTCTGAGAGCACGGTCTTTTCCTCACAGGATGATGATGAGGAGGAGAACAGTGCTTTTGAGTCAGTGCCAGATTCAGTGCAGAGCCCTGAGCTGGACAGGGAGCAAGTGGATGGCTCCTCCCAGTGGCCAGATGAACTAGTAGCTCATGGTGGGAATCCACAAAGAGCCACAGAGAGTCTAGACACCCCAGTGGCAGGTCCAAGCAGCAGAAGAGAAGGTTAGATCCTGAGAATCGATGTGCTGAGCAACTGTGATTATCTGGATGTCTCAGAAGACATCAGATAATTAAGGTTTCAGATAGCTCACGGTTTGCTTCTTACAAATCTGGGGGCTGTGAACTGAGCCAGGTATCAGGGACGGTTGGATAATTGAGCCTGTCTTTAAAAATCCCAGCAAAACCAAATAAATCAGGTGGGGATCTGTATATTCAGTTTCCCAGAGATATGCATCCATCATTATAAAATCAAGATTAGCTGCTGTAGTTATGTGGCAGATCAGCATTATCACATTCACCAACTCATTCCTTTTTTCCCAGGATTGTTCCATTTCATATATCTGATGAGCTGCCATGTCTCTGATAGTCAGTGAGAGGACCATCTTGTGCTTGACAAAGAACAGATATGCTGATTTGCACCAGCTAACGATCTGGGCCAGTTTCTGTGTATGTTTGTTAGCTATGCATAGTCCTAAGCTTGGAGAAATGCAAATATTTGGCTGTTACACACCCTATTTTTTTTAGTCCAATTCCCCAAGTATCAAACAAATCTACCTCAGACATCACAGATCATAGGGCAACTAAAAAGATTTCTATTTTTTCTTAGATGCTTTGGAAATTTAACTATATTGAATAAAATTCTCATCTCCTTATCCTTCCTGAGGGATAAAATAGATTTTAAAAAGTAATTTTAGATACTGTTTTTCCCAATTACTCCAAGCAGTTGTAATAAATTTCTCCCTTTGGTTACTCATGTTGTATGCAGTTACATGAAGGGGGAATTTGATCTTTTCTTCAGTTAGGATATTGTTTTTCTCCAGCTGAAGTACTAAAGGTCTCAACTGCAGCTAAGAAGCATGGGGCAAGGTCAAAAAGTAGTCTTTGTATTCCCAAATTCTGAGTCATCTGTCTCCCATTATAAGTGGCACCAAATTAAAATGGCAGCAAAAGGATAACCTATTTGGGGTTCACTGCTAAACCCCAACTAAAGCATCCTTCTACCTTTTCCTTCTCCATTCCAAATTTTTTTACCCCCACCTTCCACTGCTGCAGACCTTACCCTAGGTGAAAAAAGGTGTAAGGGTGGCCTTACATGCCGACCTGCGTAAAGACTTTGTAGACAGCTGGGACTAGGGAATTTTTCACTTCATAGGGCAGAATAGAGTCCAAAGAATTAAATTTTCAGAAGTACACAGGTATAGAAACCAAGTTTCCTTCCTTGCAAGCGAGGGTCATACATGTGCAAGTATGGCTAAGGGGCCAGGAGCGCATGTGTGTGTGAGACCATACAGGTTTGATGGTTATTTTGGACTGTGTGTGCTTTTGATAGGTGATGTGGTGGGAAAGGCCATCTTCTGCATATGGATTCAGTACAGCACCAAGACTTGAGCCCATATAAAGGGCATTGAAGTGTTCACAGTGGCTTTGCTTTCATTAGCTGGGCATATGTCTGAAGGGCAGCCTGGCTCTTAGCACTCTTTTGGTGTCATCAGGGGTGTTTCAGTAAATGTACACATTGCTTCATGACTTGGCAGCTGTTACAAACACAGTAGATGTGGTCACGTCCATCCACTCCAGGTGACTGCTACTACCGCTGGCGTAACTATCTTGACTAGGGGAGAGTCAATTACGGTGAGGTAAGTAAAGAAACATAGATGGATGATCTGGTAGTCAGCTCTACAACACCAGTAGTAACAGCACAGTTTTTAAGGCTATGAGAGATGGACTTTTAGGATGGAGTAATAAAATTACATAACTCCGCTGCCTGTTCAAAACATGCAGCAGATACAACTGTGAGATATGCCTATACACAAGTGGTTTAATGAAGACATTTAGCAGGACATATGGTATCATCTGAGCACCTAGAAGAGGGAGTATTTTTGTCTAAGCAACTTTTCTCACTTCTGGATGGTGTGAGATTTTTTTACAGTTTTATACAAAATTGGCTTCTGCCTTCTAACTGTTGGTTATTTGAAAAGCCCAACATATTTTCTATTTTTGGTAAATTTTTTTTACATTTGATATCTATATGTTTGGATTTTTTTACAAAATGTTCATTCTTAGGCTGTTGAGATTCTGACATTATAGACAGTTAAACCAGCTAGCACACAGTGTGTTTTAGCATTTCCAATATCAGCAAAATCATTCAGCTAAATATATTTTTTTCCCTAATGCATGTAAATATTTTATTTATGCAATTATGCAATTCAAATTGTGTCTGTAGTAACAAGCATACCTGGAGCTGGAGGTTATAGTGAAAAGCTGTTCCCACACAATATGAAACATGTCCATTAGGAGGATAAATAGTCCTGGTTTCTAAGATTTTAAGGACAGGCCAAGCCGGAATCTCTGTTCTGGATCCTGTGAAGTTTCAGTATGCAGGTTCCTATTCTCACAGTTAAGTCTAACATAAGGAATGTTTTTTCCATCCCTACTATAACTTCTTAGTTTCTTAAAGGATTCTACAAACATTGACTGGATCTTAAGTTCCTTGTTCCTTTCAACAGAACGTGAGTTTGGACATTTACTGAGGTTTCATTTTTTTATACTTAGATATGGTAAGGGGGTTGGAACTAGTTGATCTTTAAGGTTCCTTTCAACCTAAACCATTCTATGATTCTATATATGGACATATATACAATGTTAGTATATAAAACCTTCCTCTGCACTGTCTACTGTGTGACTCTCTTTCTTCTTCTTTCCCTCTTCTCTATCTTAGGTCTTCGTTTTTTATCTCAGATCCTGACTATTTCTCACTATCTTTTGTCCTCCTCTTCTACCACCTGTCTCCTACCTGTCAGCTGTCCTTCTCTAATTCTCCCTCCTTCCACCCAGTATGAACTCTGAATTTTGAAAAATACCTATATAAGAGGGTGTTTTTCTGCTTTGCAGGGACTGCAAAATCCTGCCATTCCTGTCCACATATCATTTGGAAAAGATCAGTGGACCAGCCACTGATCTTTTGGAAAAGCAGAGAATGATCCAAGGCAGTTTTTAACTTCCTAGCCACTGATCTTTTGGAAAAGCAGAGAAAGATCCAAGGCAGTTTTTAACCTCATTTTCTGCTGATGGGTGAAATAAAAGTTGGAACTAGGATTTTGCAGGTTCCTGCCAGTTTCTGCAGAAGCTTGAGTTTGTTTGTACTTGAACAGTGTTTCTCACAGGTCAAGCCTGATTCTTCTCTCACTTGCACTTGTGTGTCTATGAGTCCAAAATCCGGGCCTCAATAGTTTAGCCTTGACTCAGAGACTTTACTGTGTTATTTTAATACTTCTTTGCCATATGAGTTGTTATTAAAATAGTGCCTGAAAATCAGAATAACCAGAGATGCTAGTGCACTGGATTAACCTATTTTTAAAACAATCACTTGTTTTACAGTAGCACATTTTTTGAACCACATTGTGAAAAAGTGAATGACTGTCAATGTCTTGAATGTCTTGTCCATAGGTGATTGCCCTTTACTCCATAATTCTCAGCCAGTCAGCCAGCTTCCTTCTCTGAGGCCTGACCATCATCACTACCCAACTATCGATGAGCCTCTTCCGCCAAGTAAGCTTTAGTTTTTTAATTTTTTTGCATTTTTTCAGCTTTTCCTGTTAACTCAAACAGTATAGAGGTCAGTATGTCTTTCTAAAGAACCCCATCTGTTCTGTATATACATCCTCCAGAACCCAAGCAATATGCCCTTTTGTTTCCCTTATTTGATCCTGACTTCAAGTGTTGTCGTGTTATTTTGGATGAGCTCCATAACCTCCCTCCGCTTTGGTCCCTCTTCTTTCTTACCTACCATGAAATAAAAATAATAATAGTTCCTCATTTCCAGTCAGTGTGTTTAGACTCAAATGATTGGGTATCTGTCAGGTGTTCTGGAAGCCTTACTATAGTTTTCTGTGTGGTGTATCAGCAAAGTACTCTGATTTTTCTGTAACGTTTGTCTCCAGGTTTTCCATGACCAACTTCAAAGATGGTTTGGGATGGCAGTCCCTGTGGTCTGTCGGGTCTGCCTGCAGGTCCAGCAGGAACCCCTTCACAGGCAGGATCCTCCTGGGACAGACGGGTTCAAATCTGAATAAAACCAGCAGAAGTTGGGAAAAGGCAGCTCATGTAGAGTGATCTTGTGTTGTCTTTGGATTTGATAATCAGTGAATTTTATGTTCATTGTGGACTGTAGTGGTGACTACACTTGCACTGGATGAAAATGAGAGGATCTTAAGTAGTGTGATCGATTAGCAACCTGATAATATGGGACTTTTACTATGGAAGCAACCACTGGAGATGTTTTCACTTGTCTGTAGCCTTTCTCTTGTGTATTCCCAGAGGATTACCCTGCTTTTTGCTTTTGCGTTCTGTGCCCAGCAGAGCGCACTCTATGCCCTGCAACATGCTGCTGATCACCTTTCAACTTGACCCCGGGATTTAACAGCCTGAAAATGTGCAGTGCCTCACAAAAACAACTCGGCATATAAACAAAGCACTTTCTTCAAAGCCCAGGAAGGGGACACACTTATGTGGCCTATGGTGCCCTTGACAAATAATTCATCATTTGCCAACCATGCTGTCAGTATTCCCTAGGCCAAAAATAGCCCCGATGCTGGCGTCAGCTGCACAGTAGCATGAATGATTCAAATGCCTTTAGCCCAGTGAAGTCTTATTAGAGCCCCACTGTGGCTTGCCAGTGAATGATGAAATGGGAACGGTTAGCTCTGGAGCAGGCAAATATTTCTCTTCCTCCCACTCTTACCACAACATTTTGTGAATAGGGCATGTTCCCCATTCAGTGGCTTAACGATAGAACACGGATACCAGCTCCAGTAAACAAAGCATGATGTGAATCTATTCCATATTCTACTGTTACCAACTTAATACATTTTTCCTCTTTCTTATAATTATCCTCAAAAGGCGAGTGTTTCCACCATTGGTTTTCACAAGAACTTTCACAGTAGGGTATAAGGACATGAAATACAATGGAAAATACAGAAGTGATATCCCTCTCCAGGATTTTGTTTTAGCATTGGCATTTTAACACCAGTGATGGACTAATGGGGTCCCAGTGCCCTGAGCTGGAGTACCATGGCCGTGAGAATGATAAACTCCCAGATGACCCTGATGTTGTGAGGAATCTGCTGCTCCAGCTGAATCCCCATAAATCTACAGAGCCTGATGGGATTCATCCTAGAATATTTAAAAGAGCTGCCTGATGTCATCATAAGGCCTCTTGATGTTTTTTAATGGTCTTGGTAATCTAGAGAGGTCCCAGTTCACTGGAAGCTGGCTAGTGTCCCCATTTTGAAAAAGGGCAAGAGGGGTGACCCTGTCAGTCTCGCTTCAGTGCCTGTTAAAGTTATGCAAAAGATTATTCTGGGAGATATTGAACACCTGAAGGACGGAATCACAGAATATTCAGAGTTGGAAGGGACCCACGAAGGTCATGGAATCATAGAATTTAGGGGTTGGAATGGACCTTACAGATCATCTAGTTTCAACCCCCCCTGCCATGGACAGGGACACCTCCTCACTAGGTCAGGTTGCTCAAACCTTCATCCAGCCTGGCCTTGAACACTGCCAGAGTTGGGGCAGCCACCACGTCCCTGGGCAACCTGTTCCCATGTCTCACCACCCTTATAAAAAAACCTTTTTTCTCACATCCAGCCTGGACTTTCCCTCCTTCAGTTTGAACCCATTACCCCTTGTCCTATCATTGCAGTTCCTAACAAAGAGTCCCTCTCTGGCTCCCTTGTAGGCCCTTCAGATATTGAAAAGTTGCTATGAGGTCTCCACACAGCCTTCTCTTCTCCAGGCTGAACAGCCCCAACTCCCTCAGCCTGTGCTCACAGGGGAGATGCTCCAGTCCTCTTAGCAACTTCATGGCCACCTCTGGACTTGCTCCAACAGTTCCATGTCCTTCTTATGCTGAGAGCACCAGAACTGCACACAGTATTCCAGGTGGGGTCTCATGAGAGCAGAGTGGAGGGGAAGAATCACCTCTTTTGACCTGCTGCCCACACTCCTTTTGATGCAGCCCAGGATTCCATGGGCTTTCTGAGCTCCTAGTGCACACTGCTTATGGTGAGCTTCTCATCCACT